GCCTACATTTGTATTGTGTACTACGACGCCTGGTACTAATAAAAGATCCTTTAACTGACTAACTATTCATTGTGTTTTAAAATAGGCCTCAATTTATGACAACATTGATTTATTCTCTGTTGGTCTCTTCCAGCAAAATAATGCCCCGTGTCACAAAAAATATTGAATATAACAATTACTTTTCTGTGTTAAATTGGCCTACATACACATCAGATGTAAATCTAACCGAACACATTTTGGTTTTTGGTAGGAAGAGAAATTCAAATCCTGGATGTGCAGTAACGAAATCTAGAAAAAGTTGTGGAATGCCAAAATAACAGCATGGGTTCAAATTTCGATAGACTGATTCCAGAACATCATAGAATCCACTCCAGGAAGAACTGATGCGGTTCTAAACGCAAACGGGTGTCCGACTTTGTACAAGAAGAGTGTATAGAGGAATAGGCATGGATAAAATTGAAATAAATCATCTTCAGCACATCTCTACAAATTTAAATATTTTTTTATTATTAAGCATTAATTTTCTTTCATATTGAAATAAATAAATAAATTACAAAGATTCTTTGCGAAACAACTTCACACAAAATATTTTTATTGCCGTCTTTACAACCGAATCAATTGTGTTAGTGTAGAATAAAGGGAATGCATTTACATATGAGAATGTGTATGTCACATTTTTGCGTTGTTTTATGTATGCGTGTAATTTTATAATATCAGCAACGTATAGGCAGGCAACGAAGCTGCGTTAACACTATTACTAATAATCTGTGTTGACAAATAATTCGGTTCGTATGATTTTTTAGTGTCAAAATCGCTCAGCCTTTTTTGTAATATAGTATACTGGAATAAATATGTGAAAATGTGAGTAATTAATTAAGGTTTGGGAATTTCAGTTTATACAACAACAAACGATCGAGCCTGGTCTAAGTTTAACTGACCCCCTCCCCACCAAAAAAAACTGATTTACTAACTTAACATCACAATATTTATTTGAAAATATATACTCCAAAAATCTAAAAGTTAAATTTTACTAAACTAAATTTATTGGTTAATAAATATTATTCCCAATTTTTTATCCATTTTTAGAAGGGAAAATATTGTTGATCATATTCTGGAGTGAGTTTTCAAATTTTCGTAGCAGACGATAAATATTGTTGTTTGAAAATTCAAAGACAACAGCGCGTTTCATATGACGTCGCTAATTGGTTAAAATATACGAATAAAGAAATTCAAATCTGGAGTCTACAAAATGCACAAAAATGAGTCAAATATTCTGTGAACCGGTGTTAGATGTTGTAACCTAGGGAAGGTTACTGAATAATCAAACGAAGGTTGGTAATGAACGATAATACTTAGGACAAGAACAACACATATAAGATTCGAAAGCGGCGCGTAGAAGGAGTAGTCAACTGCTAGAAGTGACTTAAGTGAATTCCACAATGAATCTACAACTGCAGGATATCTACCAACCGCTCCATGCGGTCAGATGTGGCACAAGGCCGAATTTAATGTCGGGTATCTGTATCCGTAAGCTCGGCCAAAAATTCCCCGTAGACCCCGTATAAAACGGGGTCGGGTAGCTGGTTCCCCACACGAGACTCTGCTCTTCGACATAGCATCGTCTGTGGATCCTCTCTGCCCGGAGGCAGAGAGTTTGAACGGCACAGCTAGAGACGAATCCCCGACTGCAGACCAACATTTAGTAGTGTATTTATGTGAATGGGGACATACCCATTATCGTCCGTATGTATGCTACAACATTAGTACAGAACAGCTTTTTTTTTACTGATATCACTAAAATCCATTAATTGTTTCAACAATTTTATAACGGGTTAAGTAACCGGTGAATCTATAATTAAACAAACCCGATATTTCTGGCAGGTACTCCACTAGTTTGATATATGAAATGTTTCATTTTTTTTCCATTAGCAACATGGACTTCCGTGCTGAACTGAAGGACAATGGTTGCTGCTGCAGTAAAGGGTGGATAGAAATCATTAATGGGCCGATCAAGTGTCCTCAAAGCAATCAACACACTTACCCTTATATAAAATATTCACATCAAGAAAAAGCTGTCAATTGGACAACAGGTGAGTGGCTATCTAAGAGGTGAAACCACTGCTCTCTTTGGGAGCTTAGCTTAAGAGTTAATATAACAAAATGCAGGAACAGAGGTTCAGATTGTTTTTAGACAAGAGGAAAGTTTTCTTTACAAGTTCGAGTTTCAGAGAAATTAAATTTGTTTAAAACAGCGTTGTTAATCATTATTAATTTTGACTATTTCTTTCATTTTATTTCTGAGTGTTTTTTTTATTATAACTGGTTATTTGTAAATTTACTGAGAGTAGAATTAAATGGAATATTTTCTGAATTTCTCTGACGAAGCATTGTCAATTATTATTAACTTTTGACTAGTATTTCTTTTCAGCATATTTATCTTGCATTTTATTGCAACCATCTAAAAAGACCCCCAAAAACCCCCAAAAAAAACTTAACGTGCATAACTATGCCAAAGATGTTCACCATTGAAGTCACTTAACACCGATATGTGGCGTGTCAATCGGCGGTAGAAAAGAAAAGGATTCATTCTCTCTCTCTCTCTTTTTCTCTTATCCATCCTGTCGTTGGATGTGGCAGGTAGAAGATGTTGTCCAGTCTCCCCTTTCAAGGAAATAGCAGCCAGAAAAATCGATAACTTAATTTCAACCAAACCACGTGTCGCACACTCTTTCACACACACACACACACACACACACACACACACACACACACACACACACACACACACCTAAGCAAATGAATATTCTTTCTTTTTTATGAACTCCATCTATAGTATACAATCGATGGCCACTCGTATTCGAGGATACCCGTCTACTAGGACGGCGAGCCAATCCCTATTGCAGACGCTTGCTCAGGCGCATTTGCGTTTATTCAGCACCAACAGAACCCACCTGTGCTATATACGGCAACTATGCTGAGCAGATCTTAATTACAGATTCTGGGAAAGAGTGTGCTATTTAGCGTGATCAATAATTTGAACAAGTTCAGCACGCTCAAGCCCTCGGCCACGATGACATGTGACTTCGTGCTTGCACAGCTATTGACGGCCTCCAAGGGTTCCGTTTACCCAATTTAACTTGGGTCAACCCGTGGTATTGTTTTCAGGCCTTTTCCAAAGGTGCCACACGCTGGGATTGGCCTCTATCCATTCCGATAACATCAGGAAGTCTCCTTCCTGACAAATCACCATGGTGAGATTCGAACACGGATATAGATAGACATCTATATCCGTAATATTTCCTCTCTTTTTGAATTATGTTGTTCGATATATAACTATATGACCACCTCCGCGTATATATTTATATTCCTGTCCCTAAGGACACATGGCCCAGTGGATAAAAGCGTTGGCTGAAGTAATCCAAAAGTGATTTGATCCAAAGAGTTCAATAAACAGGTGAAAAAGAAACAACAGCTTTGAGTGTTGAGTCACTAAATTAACTGAAACTGAGATATCCAAAAAAGGCATGGCACGTGGAACTAGAACAGTCTACTCCCGTGGACTAAATAAAGAGTTCGGTCGAAATTCCAGTGTATATCACCTGAAGAAGACCGAGGCGTAGAACAGCCGAAACGTCAGGAATATGTCAATAAAGATGAGGGCAAAAGTCCGAATATTGTAAATACTTCCACATATGTGTTGAATTTATTTTTAAAGTTTCCGTCAAAAATTGCAAATGAATTCGTTATAACGTTTCTCATATAAATATGAGTTTTTGATTATCAAGAATTCAATTTATTTATTTTATTTTGTTTTAGGTCATAGAGTTGCAGATGCCCTGGCTTTGTACATATCATTATAGGACAAATTTCTCCGTCAGTGGCTTAAGTCTTCATTTTCTACAAAATAGGGTCCGATAATAACTTATAGCAATGAGATCAGAACACAACGAATCGCGAGCAATGTTTTTTTATAAGAGAGTATAGGAGAAATTGATAGACTTTGAATATACGCTCTTTAGCGCTAGGGGGCGTCGTCAGTGATCTTCTGAATTGGGTCATTGGGCAGTTTCGGGTCTTTCAAACATCATACTCCCCCTCACCAAATCGACCCCATGATGAGTCTCTGATGCGCCATCCCCTCATCTAAATTAACAGCCTGCAGACACTGACTTATATTATAGGCAAATCATACCTCTCTTTCATGCATTTGATTGGAAATTGACCAACAGCCAATCACAATGGTGTGAGCTATTTAAGTTGTTTACGGTTTTTTTTTTTTTTACTTTTCTTTTTTTTTTTATGTGAATACTCGTCAGATACTCGGAAGGTAATTATGTGTTTGCCGTTTTTATTTTTTTTTTTTTTTTTTTTTACTTTTTCACTTTTTTTCAAGTTTCATCTCCCCAACTGATAGTTACTAGTATAGAAGAAATAAAAAAAAATGCAACCTTAAAATAATTAGAAATTTACATTCATTTTACGATTAAAATAATAAATTAGGACTTAATCAGCGTGTTAAAACGAAAACAAATATAAAAATAAATTTAGAAAATATATAAATTCTTATATACCACAACAATGAGAGGAACATTAATCATAAAGTGGAAAAGCTATTTCGTCTGGCGCGTTTCATTCGGATCAAAGTGATATTTACACAGATGTAACTTTGTTTCTTTTTAATCATTTCACCTCACAAAAGGCAATAAAGCCACTAAGACACAAGGGTTGACTGAGTGTGAAAGAATAAGTAAAGGCGAAACATCGTTAAGGAGCAAGAACAATAAAAGAATAAGAATTAAGAAGGCAGTAGATAACGATTGACATTGCATTTAAATCTTTGAAGATCCAAGTTGACTGGAAAGCGAGAAGCCAGAAGAGAGTTCCACGAGTTAGAAGTGACAGGGAAGAAACTGCCAGCATAGAACTTGCGGTTACATCTACCTAGTTCAAGCTTAGATTGTTAGCTTACCAATAAAAATATTCTTATTCTTATTCCTGAATCAAACGAAACTGATTGAATTCCAACAGAGAGAGAGAGAGAGAGAGAGAGAGAGACAGACAGACAGACAGACAGACAGAGGCAGACAGACAGACAGACAGACAGACAGAGTGAGAGACATACGAAAAGTTTGGGACTAGTATAAATTTAGTCACAACTAATTAAAAACAGAGCTTTTTAAAATCATTCCACCCCAAGCAAGGCAATAAAGCCACTGAGACACAAGGGTTTAATCTGTGTAAAAGAATAAGACAGAAGAAAAACATTATTAAAGAGTAAAAACAATAAAAGAAATGGAATCAAGAAGACAGCAGTTAAGGATTGACATTGTTTTACATTTCTAAAGATCAAAGTTGGTTGGAGAATATAGGGTAGCAATAGAATTTGAATTAGTTTCACACAATGCGAAGATATCCGGGGAGTGTTTCAAGAAATTGGAACGGATACCATGAATATTGGTGGAGAAGGTTGAATGGGGTATGTGATTTGTTGTTTACTGGTCTTTTCGTATTTCTTTTCATTGTATCAGTCATAAGGGGGGGGTATTAATTTTCATCTTTCACTCCCAAGCAAGACAATAAAGCCACTACGACGCAAGTTGTTACTGAGTGTTAGAGAATATGAGGAAAACTACTATTAAGGAGAGAGGACAATAAAAGAACAAGAATTAAGAAGACAGAATATAACGATTGACATTGCATTTAAATATTTGAAGGTCAAAGGCAATAAAGATACTAAGGTGCAATGGGTTACTGAGTGTTAGCGAATATGAGAAAAACTACTATTAAGGAGAGAGAACAATAAAACAAGTGGAATTAAGAAAACAGAAGATAACGATTGACATTGCATTTAGATCTATGAAGATCAGAGGCAATAAAGCCACTAGGATGCAAGGGGTTACTGAGTGTTACAGAATATGAGAAAAACTACTATTAAGGAGAGAGGACAATAAAAGAACAACAATTAAGATGACAGAAGATAATTGTCATTGCATTTAATTAAAAAAAAAACAACAAAGCGGGAACGCATGGAGATGAAAGACAGTGCCACATATGAGAGGCGCGAGAAAATAAACTGTTAGAACTTACTTTTACTTCTAACCATTTCAACGGTAAACCGATAAGACCTAGCCGCCAGTCTAGTACGAATAAGGTCTAGGTACCATGGTGGAAAGTTCATAAAAAGTTACCATGAAAGTATTTACAGAAAAGACACAGGGAAACTACGTTACAACCGTGGCAAAAGGACCTGAAGCCGAGATGCCAGGTCAGGATCAATAACATTGCAGAATCATATTTGGATTTTATTGTTTTGAAGAGAAAATAGAAAGCCCAGCATATTTATCAATGTCAATACAAAGTGGCCAGACCGTAGCTAAGACTTTTGGTTTTAAAATTAAAAAAAAATCAGATTTCGTTCATGCGCATGAAAGGTTACATCACTTTGGTCCGATGAAGTCATAAAGGATGAAACATGTAACACGAAAAAAAAAAAAAAATGTCCACTTTGTCATTAATTTTCCTAATAAGAAATTATAAAATAGGCAAATTGTATCTTCGGACTCGTGTAAAAACGCAGTGCCAAGAGGACGAATTTTTCCTTGACACCGCTAGTATTTTAAATTACCTTCATTCCACTGAAAATGTTTATTTCTTTAAAAAGCGATGATTAGAACAGTAATAAAACCTAAACATACGTTAAAGGCGAATTTGTACATTTTTTTTTTGTTCTTGAGAAATTTAAATAAAAATATTAAGCACTATTTATTTTTTTAATATTTACTAAGGCGGTGGAAAAGATTAATAAACATTTACAATGTTTTGCTTGGTAAACATGTTTGCGTTAATTTGGAAAAGTTGGTCTGTTTGAGGACAGGTTCCACGTGCCATGCCTCATTTATCTCCTTTTTAACTGAAGGACACAGTGGATAAAAGCGTTGGTTGAATCCAGTGGCTTGACCCAAAGAATTGTGAGTTCAATTCCTGGTTGTAGCAGGGGTGAACAAAAACTTGAAAAGTTCAGTTTAGAGGGGAGATAACTGATATTTAGTCATGCGGAAGAGGCATGGCCCGTGCAACTAGAACAATTTACATTAATGGACGAAATAAAAGTCCAAAATTCCAATTAACTGAAGAAAGCCGGAGTATACAACGGTGGAAACGCCGGGAATATGGCAACAAAGATGAGAACGACAGCCGGACCAATGTAAATAGTGTAAAATTAATAAAATATGAATTAAGTATTTAAATAAGGGAGATAATTCCAAACATTTGGATAAATAGTTATTTCCCTTTAAAACTATATTATTTTAATTTTGTGGGACGAAATATCGTAATTATTTTAAAAAACAACCCCGCCCAAGTAAGTCAGTCTATAACGCCACTAAGCCGCATGGGGCTACTGGTAGTGAAAGAGAATGAGAAAGCTTTGGAAGGAACCAGAAACCCAATACTAAAAGGAAACAAAGGATAAACCTCTACACCTGTTAAAAAAAAAACAAAAAAAACAGGAAGGAATGTGAACCGGGTGATAGGCGACACTATTTACTCCTTTGCCTGAATTTAATGCCTCTGATTTTTCTATTTTTTATTTTTCTCAATTTTTCTGTTATTTTAAAACACTATTTTCCCACAGAGTCGCCGCCGCCACTGGCTATGCATTTTTTTTTTCTCTAGAAGCAAAATACTTTTATGTATTTCCATGAGAACTACAACAGATACAGAGAGCACAATAACACCGTTGGATAGAGCAGTTTTTCTGCTACAAAACATTATTTTCCCGCACCACTGGCTAAGCGTTGCGTCAGTAATAAACAGAAGCCTATGCATGGTTGGGTGGAACGTGGATTGTTACCCATATTGCTACTATCACTTCTGAATCGCATTTACTCGCCGCCTAACTGTTTTGTCCTTGTAAACGTTCAGCCGATGTGTCTATGAATGACGGTATATTTTTTCTTCATGGAAGATATCAATGTCATTGCATTTTTTTTTTTTTTTTTTCAGGTGTGGTCCTCTTTGTAAAACCTGCGCACAGACGCCGGAGTGGTCCTCATTGAAGACCTCTGCACAGACGCTGGGGTAGTCCTCTTTGAAGACCTCAGTACAGACGCTGGTGTGACCCTCGGCGAAGACTTGGGCGTGGAGGCTGGCGTGAAAACGGCGAAAATTGAAATGGCTCGGCGAAAACTTGGGCGTAAAAAAAAAAAAAAATTTTGAAGACTGGCCATTTTGTTTACAAAAATGGGCGCGGAATTGGCGTGGTTTCTCGGCGAAGACTTGGGCGCGGAGGCTGGCGTGGCTCTCGGCGAAGACTTGGGCGCGGAGGCTGGGGGAAGAACAGAATTCGAGGAATAGGCTTGGGCAAATTGTCATGCAGTGTGGTAATGGTTAATATAAGGCCCTAAAGATGAAAGTGATTGAAAGACTTGGGGGGCTTTGAAGACCAGATGCTGGATTTTAGCTCCAACAGAAGATCTGAGCACAGAGGCCAAGGTGGCTCTCCGCGATGACCTTGTGTATCATATATAATGCTGTGACCTTTGGCGAAGATTTGGGCGTAGACATCAAGCTGGCTCTCTTTGAAGACCTCGATACAGATGTCTGTGTGGCCCTTGGTGAAGACTTAGGTGCAGGTGCTCAGACGTTATTTTGCTAGCCTGAACCTCATCAATAATAAGTAAGCGTTAATTAGCGTGAAGGTTAAACTCCTGTTAACATCCGCTTCTGACATAATTGGGGGCATTGTCACTAACTAGTGTGGCTCGCGCTGGTGTTAGGGGTGGATTACGCACGTCGCTCCGTAATGTGCCGAATCAATGCACTGTCTCGATTCCTCGGTTCAGAAGTTATCTTTTCACCGGGACTTGAGCGCCTGTTGCTACTTAAACTCAAAGACCTCTAGTAGAACTCGTACATATGATCCATCGATAAAGAAATGGTTGCTTCCCTGTGTCGCTCCAGCAAGGACTTGATTCCTGCTTTCATCTACCTTTACAATAGCCAAATTAGGCCGTAAATAGAGTACTGCTGTCATATATGATCGGAATCAGCCCATTTTTCACTTTCCAGTCTTGATAGAGTCCAAAAGCGTCTCCGCGTCCTTGTGGGTGACAAATTATTTTCCATTCTGCACTCCCTTTCTCAGAGACGAGACATCGCAAAGCCTCTCGCTGATCTATCGCTATTTCCATGGAGAATGTTCAGATGAACTACGCTCTTTAGTTCCACCAGTCCATCGCTTCGTAATGGGCCGTAATCAGCTTCCTCAGGTCCTGTCTCGATTCCTCGGTTAGAAGTCATCTTTTTAACATGAAGTAGATGTGTTCGTTATAACAATTGGCACCATGCGTGGGGTCTGTATCGGCAAGTCGAGGGAGAGAATTTCCATGCCTCAGCCGATCTAGAGTCACTCACATTATAATAGTAGATAGCTTTGTGTTCACAAGCATAAAAAAACATACAAGAAAATATTTATTTCCGTGTGTCTATTTTAATTATATGTGTTTTAAGGCTGAATGTAACATAGGAAGAAAAACACTTCATCATATGACAAGTATTGTGTCGAGAAGAGGAAATAGACGTCTTGACTCTTTGAGAGTGCGTACTGAAGAGAAAGATTTCAGCGTTTTTTTGATTCGAAGTATCCGTTTTATTTTAATTTAGACAAAGTTCTAATGTTATTTGTTTTATTTATGGTATTTCTTATTTCTATTTATACGTAAATTTATTTATATATAATATTTATTATATTTCATTATATTAAATTATATATTTATATTATACACGTTCTTTTACACAATCTAAATAACATAAGGATTTTATTCTATATTGCAAAATTCTTACTTTTACCTTGATAATGTAGGGTTAACTTCACCTAATTTCCTGAAACCGTTACTAGGGCACGCTTTCCAGCACTATGAATACACTGGGATAATTTTTTTCACTCTCTTTTTTACTTTTTCTGCTTACACAAGGAAGGAGTAAGTAAACTCTTGGCAAAAACGCGTTTCCCATTGGGAAACGCATGAACAAGAAAGAACACACATACACTCATCAAGGATGTAGGTACATTTCACTTACTTCACAGTCTTTGGACAGAAAACGGTTTTTACATCCTTTTGTTACACACAATAACTTGTATACCTTTCTTGTTAATAAATTATCATTTGTTTGTAAATATATATTGGTTCTTGTTGTTTCTTGTTATTTTATCTTGACAGACATATATGCAAGTCCTCCATTTTTGTTGTAGGTATTTCAGGAGACACGTGTTTTTCCCAACTCAAACACTGACTTTACTAACGTCTGCAACAATAAAGCCCATCAGAAGACAAACTGCGTCAGATACCATGAGTTTTCCTTTTGTCTTTTATTTCTATAAAGTTATAATATTATGATATTAGCCTGAAAAGGCGCAAAATTATAGAAAATCCTCGTATATTTATGAAACCAAAGTGGGAATAAAACTTTCGTTCTAAATAATAGGTGTCAGCATTTAATGACACGCATTGCCTTCGTTAATTAAATTTTTATAAGGAAACCATGCATGTCCTCATTGACGTTCGAAGTGTTTCCTAAAACGAACAAAAATTCCTTTAATTTCTCTCTGTAAGATTCTAAACAAGGGGTTCTTAACCTTTTGATGATTCCAGGCCCCAAATGGATTATCCAATAGGTCTCATACCCCCTTCACTTGACTGTGGAAATAATTATCACCAATCATATTATTTGCCATTTTGTTTTCCAAATATTTCAATCGCTTGAATTTACTGTACTTTAGATATGGATGGCTAGGAATAGAACGTGAAAAAAATCATAAGCATTGATAACTTTATTATATTTTTTTTTACTAAAAGCAAAATAAAATTCAAAAATCAGTTTTATTACACAAGAAAAAGGAAGAGAACAGAAATGTGCAAGATTTTTTTAGTTTCTCGACTACAATAAAACAGACTTTTAGTAATCTAGTGACATATTTGCTGTTGTTTTTGTGCAATCAAAGCATGGAATCGTGGTACAGTTACTGACAAAGCTACTCGAATGTGATCTGAAACATCAAGTCGATTTCTCAATTTTGATTTCAGATTTAATAATGCAGAGAATCCTGTTTCACAGAGATACGTAGTTGTGAAGGGAACCAAAACATGCATTGCCCTAATTGCCAAACTTGGGTAAGCAGAGATTTGTTCACATCAAAACTGCTTGACATCCATCCCAGCCCTTTCGAAACTCCCAGCATTTGTTCCCATACCCACAAGAACGCCTGTTCTAAACTTACAATAGACTTTACGCAAGGGAGATAACTCATAAACACATATCCGAAATTAATTCCCTTGAAAATAAAATATTTACTAATTTTACTTTTTTTAGAAAACATTGAGGCTGACAGTGTCGGATATCAAATAAACCTCTAAAATCATTACCATTAGTACTTGCAAGACGAGCTTCTTAAATATTGCTCCATGGTAAGGTTTCCTGGTCACAAACGTTTTTGTCTTATTATATTATATTAAAGATACAAATACTAAATAATAATACTAATAAATAATACTACTAATAATAATACTAATAAATAATAAATACTAATATATTAAAAATACTAATACTAATGTTACGGTTTTTTTGTGGGAAGTTTTCTAACAGAGGACAAAAAATGCGACGTCGAAATCCGAAAACTCATTGGGATAGTCAAAGATGCATTCCAAAAGCTAAGCAGAGTATAAAGAGACAGAAAAACTTCATTAGGAACAAAGAAACGAGTACTGAACTACTACGTAAGATATGCAAATGACACAGGCCAGGGAAACTGTAAGAAATGCTACAGAAGGTAGAGAAGGAAAACTTGAAGAAAGGACGAAACATCAATTGGAAGAAGACAGAATGCGTAGTCGTTAGTAAAAGGAACAGCCCGACATGCAAACTACAAATTGGTGACACCAAAATCAAACAAGTACAACAATTTAAATATCTAGGAAGAGTTTTAACAGTGGACAGAAAGTGAGATCCTTAAATCCAAAAACTCATTGGGATAGCGAAAGATGCCTTCCAAAAGTTAAGCAAAGTATTAAGAAACAGGAAGATTTCGTTAGAAACAAAGAAAAGAGTACTGAACTGTTACGTAATATCAGTCCTCTTATATGACAGTGAAGGTCCTCTTATATGACAGTGCTGGTAATATTTTTTTTCAAAAATGTATTGTTGGTAAAAAGTTTTTTCAAAAATGTATTGCTGGTAAATTTTTTTTCAAAAATGTATTGCTGGTAATATTTTTTTTCAAAAATGTATTGCTGGTAAAAACTTTTTTCAAAAATGTATTGCTGGTAAAATTTTTTTCAAAAATGTATTGCTGGTAAATTTTTTTTTCAAAAATGTATTGCTGGTAATATCCTTTTTCAAAAATGTATTGTTGGTAAAAACTTTTTTCAAAAATGTATTGCTGGTAAAATTAAAAAAAATGTATTGCTGGTAATATTTTTTTTTACAAAAATTAATTGCTGGTATTAAAAGCCATTTTACACCCTCCCAGCGACTTGACCCTAGTTAGGGGGTTAACTATTTGCCTATAGGTGGGACCTTAACAGATGCTACTACCCCTGGTCAGGGTGGACCTGGGAACACTAGCAATTAAGAGGTGGTTCCACGCTCCTGAAGAGCTCCTAATCAAAGGCTGTCGGATGTAGTTTATCGTCATACCCAGGACGCTTCATTTGGGGGTGGAGGTCGTAACTCTCTGAAGAGGTGCGGTCGGCTTATTCTGAAACCCCAGCCGACAGGGCGGAATAAAACTTTCATCTCAGATGATATTTAATTACAAAGATTTCCTTACTTTTAGTCTTTAATAGAATTAAAATGTTACACGGAGACCATGCATGTCTGTATTGTTGTATAATTCTTTTGATAATTTCTCCAAATAAAATCATAATGTCCAATCCACATTACGCAAGGGACATAACTCTTATTGATATTTACGAAATTAATTCCCTTGGAAATATTTTTTTTTTCCTTTTTTTTTTATTTAAACAGCACATAAGCTGAGAGTATCGGATATAAAATGATCTTCTAAAATCATTACCAGTAGTAATTGTGAGACGAACTGGTTAAAAATTACTCCATGGATAAGTGTCCAATTTCCAAGCGTAAATATTTTGGCTCGTTTTACATTATATTAAAAATACAATATTTTATTGCGTTTTACATGATTCTGAATGCGATATGCAAGTCTGAAGATCGCATTCAAGCTTGAGACAGATTGTCTCCAATCGGTGTTTACACCAGTGTCTACACTTATTATATTTACACACATTCTGGATATTAAGCACGTTTACGGTATACATATGGAATACCTTAAATCTATCTATCTATCTATCTATCTA